CGACCCGCGTGAGAGATCCGAGCCTTGCTTACGACCGTATAAATATACCACTCAGTATAAACAGTATCAATTATTATTATTATTGATTAGTGATTTTAATCTAGAATTGTATTAGGAATATGAAAGTAGGAAAGAATATATTGTATTAGGAATTGTATTACAATATTTTAATGTACAATTTTAGTACGAATAGGAATTGTATTATTATATTTTTAAAATATTATGCAAATTTTAATAATATAGAAGTCTTTTGTGCAGAAAGTTAAAATGAAGGATTTTGTTTTTATATATTGTAAGTATAGATTGTGATAAAAAAAGTGTCTTTATATTATGAACTTTTTGGAAATTTGGCATCAATTAATTGATTGAGTGGTCTACCTCAAGATATGGACAAAAGAAAGTTATTTTAGAGTTTCTCCCTTCCTTCCACCCTACCGCGCTATTCTTGCGCCCATAGGATTGCTTAAAATGCAGTGCGATGGGAGAAGAAGATGAATAAGACAAAGACCAACAAATAGTAATATACAATTCTCCTTATCTTCTTCTTGTATCGGGTTTGAACTTTGAAGAACTATCTGCTTTCTTGTTCGCATCGATCTGGCAATGGAGTTTGCTTCGCTCACCCGACTCAGAGCTTCCGCCAACTCCTTCTTGGCCCACTACGAGCCTCTTGCTCTGCTTCTCGCCCCGCTGCTCTCTCTGCTCGTTGCTCGGCTTCTTCAATCTTTCTTCGCTGTTATCCATGAACATGGCCTCAAAGCTACGCTTCTTGGGTTCTTCATGAGCTTAGTCAAGTAATTTCTCATGGGCATCCTTTTTTTTTTTTTTTTTCTCAGTTTATTACTTGATTTGCTGATGTTTCGACTTTGAGAAGCAGGTTGGTTCCTGGCGTGAAAAGTTATATCGATTCTGAGAAACAAAAGGTCTGAACTTTGCTCTGAAATTTGCGGATTTTAATGTTTATGAATCTATTCTGGCTAATTTGATGTTAACTATGATTTTCGGTAATCCCAAGATTGTGTTTAGTGTTTTCTTGGTATGTTTGTTGATTGTATATATTCCAAGGTCTGTTGGGTGCTAGTAGTGACTTTCTACCGGCTCCCATTTCGAAGAGCTTGTGGGCCAATTCATAGTGGCAAAATACTAGCTCAAGTAAACTGAAAAGAGCTCTGCAATTCATAACTTTATTTTCAAAGTAATCATTGCCAAATAATTTTAAATGTAATCTATAATTGAGCTGCTGATATGATACTTGTTCAGGTTTAAAGTTGGTTCCTTTACTGTTGTCTCTGATGGGTACATTAGATTGTACAGTGTATTCATTTTAATGCCTCTCTTGTAACACAGTGATGATAGAAAGTTGAAGATTTCATGATTCTCCCTCTATCTTTCCGAGGCTGAAAAGATTGGTTTTTGACTGGGCAGGTTGTAGAAAAGATGCAAGCTTCGGGGAAATCTAAGAGAGATGGATGGAGAACTGATTTGCCGAAGACAGGTTTGGGAGACGGTGTCATAGAGAAAATGAGAGACGAGAAAGAGAACGATGTGACCTGGCAGGGCAAATGTTCTGGTACAATGTATGTTGGTAACGATATTATAGTACAAACTATAATTCCGAATTAACTGTTATTAGAAATCATGTTTTATGTCTTATGGACCGATTAATTACTTATTCTTATGCAGCTATATTGGAGGGAATGAGAATGAAGGGCATTTTTCTTTGATAAACCAAGCATGCTCAATGTAAGGGCTCGTGGCATTATATCATAAGTATTGTATGATATGTAAACCATAAATTGTATGAAATGTTTTACTAAGCAAGGATTATAATTTCTCACTTTGTTATATAAATGACTTTTCAGGTTTGCCCATACCAACCCGCTACATATGGATGTATTTCCAAGCGTCGTAAGATTTGAAGCTGAAGTTGTTGCAATGACAGCTGCACTTCTTGGAAGTAAGGAGAAAGCTTCGGGAGGACAAATTTGCGGGAACATGACATCCGGGGGGACTGAAAGTATATTGTTAGCTGTTAAATCATCGCGTGATTATATGAAAGCTAAAAAGGGAATCACTAAGCCGGAAATGTAGGCAGTTCTCTTCTTGAATTGCTTAATATCCATTTATGATGTGTGGATTGTCCATTACTGAGTAGCATTTGTTACTGTAGGATAATACCGGTTTCTGCCCACTCAGCATATGACAAGGCTGCAGAGTATTTTAAGATCAAGCTGTGGCGAGTTCCTGTAGATAAAGAATTCCGAGCTGATTCGAAAGCTATTAAGAAATATATTAACAGAAACACTATAATGGTAAGAGCAAATTTCTTTGTTATGAACAATATGCGATATTCTTAGTTCCTAGTTTTGCTATTATGCTCCTTTATGCATCTCAATCGAATAAACTGAAAACTTTCATGATCATTTCCGGACTTTTCCAGTCACTACTGGAAATTATGGAATTTCCGACCACCTGAAAGTGATCTTAAATCAAGTCGAAAGAAAAAAGTGGTCGGAAATAGTAACAAAGGTTTTTCTGGATACCAAAAGTGGTCAGAACAAGGCTTTCGACTTGATTTAAGATCACTTTCAGGTGGTTGGAAATTCCATAATTTCCAGCAGTGAGTTTTCCACTCCCAGCATTAGTATACTCAACCGTTTCAGATTAGCTAACTAAATCTAATGCATGTCCAGATTGTTGGGTCAGCACCGGGCTTCCCGCATGGAATAATTGATCCAATTGAGGCAAGTGATATAGTCTTGTCGGTTTGGGATGTTTGAGCAACTATTCGTTGCTTCTTTTTATTCATGAGTTGTATTCTTCTGCAGGAGTTGGGTGAATTAGCTTCTAGCTTCAAAATTTGTTTACATGTTGACCTTTGTCTGGGTGGATTTGTATTGCCATTTGCTCGTAAACTTGGGTACGTTTCACTACAATGATCTTTCGCTATTGAATTGTTAGACCATTTAACAAATTCTCAAATCAATTACTTTTACGCTATTAGGTATCCTGTCCCGCCATTCGATTTCACTGTTCAAGGAGTAACCTCGATATCTGTGGATGTACACAAGTACGGATTGGCTCCGAAGGGAACCAGTGTTGTTTTATACAGAAATCACGACATTCGGAAGGTATTCAATTCGTAACTTTCCATTTTATCCACCAAACTTTCATACTTCCTTTAACAAATTACTGTGTTAATTTTCTGAATGTGGGATCATCTGTTGTGGCTCGTTTGCATTTTACTGGGACTGCTTTTAACAGCATCAATTCGTTGCTGGTGAGTTCCTTTATTCTTAAAACAGATGTGGGTCATTGTACGATCACGATCCAACGTTTGTCGAATAGATGTTCTCGGCTTAGTTGTGGATAATCACTCACTGTATGTATATATCTTCGTTTTATAATTCAGTTACTGAATGGACTGGTGGGCTTTATGTTTCTCCCACGATTGCTGGGAGCAGGCCCGGAGGTCTGATTGCTGGAGCTTGGGCAGCGATGATGTCCCTTGGACTGGAAGGTGGGGCCCGACTACTTTCTCTGTTGTTGTTCGTCTCTAGCCGGAGCTAGATACTTGATCCATGGCTTGTGGACTGACATTGCATTATACATTTATACCTTACAGGTTACCTGGAGAATACTAAGCAGATCATGGAAGCGTCTAAGAGAATTCAGAAAGGGTGAGCGTTTTAGTATTGCGAAATTTTGATTGGGATTTAAACTATGAAACAACATCGTTATAACCAACCATTTTTCTTGGATTATTGCAGAATACAGGAGATTCCAGAATTGTTTGTCATTGGAAGGCCTGATATGACTATTATTGCCTTCGGGTCAGATGTTGTAGACATATTTGAAGTCAATGATGTGTTGTCGTCCAAAGGATGGCATTTAAACGCACTGCAGAGACCCAATAGGTAAGCATTGCACGAGCGTTGTGAATTATGTCTTAATATTCTTAAAACTCGAGGAAAATTTAGTTCTAACGCCAATTTTAATTGCCCTTTCCAGCATTCATATTTGCGTTACACTTCAACATGCATCAGTCGCTCAAGAGTTTGTGAACGATGTCAAAGACGCTGTCCAGACTGTAAGTAACTTGTTGCCTATCTTTATCTATAACGATCGGTGCTTTACATCCACTGCTGGAAATTGTGGAATTTCCGACCACCTGAAAGTGATCTTAAATCAAGTCGAAAGCAAAAAGTGGTCGGAAATAGCAACAAAGGTTTTTTCGGATACCAAAATTGGTCGAAACAAGACTTTCGGCTTGATTTAAGATCACTTTCAGGTGGTTGGAAATTCCATAATTTCCAGTAGTGATCTGCTGAACACTGCGATGAAATATTTGGGATTTCTTAATCTGTGTTGTTTTTTCAGGTGAAACAAAATCCGGGTCCTATGAGTGGAGGGCTTGCTCCAATATATGGCGCAGCCGGGAGGATACCGGATAGAGTTATGGTTCAAGATCTATTGATAGATTACATGGATGGAACATGCTAGTGTCATTGCTATGTTATACTCCATATATGATTCTTTCTTGTAGTGGGAACATATCCCAGAAACTTTGTATTGATGATTGCCAATGTTTACAACAAGAACATAAATAAAATGAAAAGCTTCACTATGTTTAAAACATCATTTGCTTTTTTCTAGTATTGTACGCTTTTCATATCCATTTTGTTCTGATTGATCATATATATAAGGATGTCATGATCAAACACTTACCACTACACCAAAAGCTATATATAGTAGCGAAGACGTAATTTTATTTCCTTATACTTGTGTAATAGTCAGTATCACGTTTTGATGACAGAATGCTGGACTCAGCTCTTCAAGCTGCCGCCCAACAAAGGAGATCAGGTATATATATATATATATAGGAGGGATGATGATATGTAAATGGCATTATACCTGTGATTCTTTGTGTTGATAAGCTGTCTGTATTCTGCAGGTGAAGGAGAAAACATAGTGCTATATATATGCATAATAATCAAACATTAACTTCATATCTCAAATACTTTAATGCATAAATCATGATCATCTTGGTCCATACATCTCAAACCTTTGTACATAATAATACTCATAATAACCATAAATCAAAGAGACAAGACACTCTTAAATACATTTCTTATTATGATGCTATAAAGTTCTCTCTCAACCTTGTCAAGACACAATCACTCAAACATATTAGTATAGAGAAGAGTTTCATTAACCCAAACATTGTTGCAGGTTTAGCTGGCAGTGAACCTGAGCTGCTTCTGATGTTTCCGGTTCTTGGTCTTAGAGCTCCAAAACCAGGTCTGAAAGAACAGATTGTAACAGTTTTCGGTTTTAGAGAACAGATATGATGATAGAATATGTTGTGCAGATCAAAGAAGAGACAGAAAGTGGGAAAGACTTACAGTCTGCGTCGCTTTTGATCCAGCATTCTCGGTTCCCGTTACAATCAGGATCACTAATGGTGAACTGATGCATGTTGGATTGGCTCTTCAGACGCCTTATGCTCTCCTTTGACATGCGTTGCTTAGGCATCAGGGCGACATTTTCAGCACCTCCAAGGTTGTAGGCCCCATCATACATTAGATTGTTCCTGATCTCATTTTTGGAGGGCTTGTCGAGCTTTTCTGCTGTTGTTGTGCTCTCAGGATGGACTTTCCTGTGGAACATATTCAGGATCTGCTCGCCTCGCATTACCAATACAGATCATACTCAGGATATAGTGCTATACGACTGTTAAAGAGTCTCACATAGAAAATATAAGAAAGAATATATGGGTTTATAAGGTCACGGTGTTAGACTAGCTAATTGATTGGATTCAGTCTTTTTAGTGTGGTTTGACCTATATGCATTTATAGCCCAATCTTTTAGATTATAAGATGGTATCAGAGCTTGTTTCAGATAAGGAAAAAGGGCATACCTTGTGCAGTTTTGAATCAGCAGCAGCAGAATCAATAGTACAGCCAGAAGCTGCGGTTGAGCTCTTGGAAGAGGCATGGGGCATTCCTTTCTTCAGTATTTTCTTCACAAGGTGCACAGCAGATTTGTCGTGTTCCTTGTCCATACGTTTTTCGCCCCTGTCATATTTTGCTCCTCCAGAGTTTTCATCTGCTAACTTGGTTTTCTGGAAAAGCTCTCCGAGAGAGGGCCTAGGTTCTTTCTTTGCAATGGTTGTGTCTGGCAGACCAATTGCCGAACCAAACAGGTAACCTTGGAGTGGACAAATGTTTGTTCCAATGTTTCCGCTGTTGTCTAAGCTCTCGAGCTGCTTGCCGCTGAGTGTGATGGTGCTGCAGTGGCTGCTCCTCCCCGCGCTAACCTGACTGCTTCTCCCAGACGAGATGTCGTCTTTGGCCTCTACTCCCAACACCTTCTCCAGCTCGTCATTGATCAGCTTCAGATCGTTCTCCGTCACTTCTGTTTCTTTCTCCGCTATGTTCTCCACAGAGATGGAAAACGTCGGGGTCGAAGGGTCGTTCACGATAGGGTCTCCTCCCAATGTGCCAATTGCAAGAAAACCATGAAACAGTTCAGTGAGTGCAGCTGAAGATTCTTCTTCAAAGTCCTCCTCGTCCGCCCTGTCGCCATCTGGACCGGCAAACGATTTGCGCAGGAGGTTGTCTCTCTGAGATTTGCTTGAGGACTTCGTGTAGAAATTTGTTTTGGGGTAACATTGTATGTCATCCAATGACGGCTGCCCTGCAAGACAAGAAATCTAGTTTCAGATACAAGAATCTGCTTAGGTTGCCCCTGACACATGTTTTGTGATTCATGTTTACATGTTAGCTACCTTAAAAATATAATCTTTAAGGATGACATTGCAGAAGATGAGAAAGGGGAGAGTGATAGATACCTAAGGAGAAATCTTTGAGTGGTTCATGGCTACCTTGTCGAAACTTCCGATGCATCCAACCGAGTAACTGCACAGAAAAGAAGATGATAATCTGAGTATAGTGATAAGCAAAGACAACATTTTCAGTTGTGTCTGGGATTACCTTCATCTTGGGAAGTGTTCCACTCGACTAGTTGTTGGCAATGAGAGAAACAAAGGTGATTTGTTTAGGAATAGTTACAAAGACTGTAGAGTGAAGCCGAGTTCGAAAGCCTTTGGAGGTGAATGGCAAAATATAAGACCTGTGATGGGTGGTTAAGACTTGAGAGTTACTATGATACTACAGCTAATCGTGGTTTGTTCGGGGGGTAAAACGATTGTCGGGATGAACTGAAGGATGGTTTGGACCCCATTCCATGATAAGATGCATTCATGGGAGTGGTTAGACTAAGCAGATCATGTTGTGAGCATGAAATTGCCTGTATTGATTTGACGGTTTACGAATGGATATGGCTGAATGATATATTTGCTTTGGTTATCTCATTTGGCACTGCATGGTTGTACACCTATAATGAACAGAAGCAGGGTAGGGGATATTTTCTTGATGCTAATACAACAGATATAATCTGACAAAGAGGAAGATTAGATTGGTTCTTGCCCAGGATAGGAAGGTGGAGAACTGCAATAATCTCTGCTGGTGTGACTGCTTACTGGTGTAAAATGGCCTTCAATTTTGTGGAGGGTCTCAAGAGCCAACTTTTTAAGACTTGTTCTGAGGATAGCTTCAGACCTGATTGGTCTTTTGATACAAACATTCATGGCAGATATATGAATCCTGTTAATTAGCAATTTCCTTCTAGTTTGGTTGTCTGTCAAACCATTTTAGGCTGATCTGATGTGGCTGGTTCTGGAGACCTGTCCCATAATGTTTTTGTTAGGATCAAACGCTTACCACGTACTATGCCTAACTTTCTAGAGCCAGGGTGCTGGACCTTTACCGGCCTCCACCCAACACTGTGACCTGGTTCTGATACCACTTGTTAGAATTAAATGCTTACCACTACGTCAAAAACTATAGCTAGTAACGAAGGCACAACTTGACAATGCTGAACTTGGCCCTTTACTGGCCTCCGCCCAACAATCCCCTAACCACATGGTGCTGGACTTTTACCGGCCTCCACCCAACACTGTGACCTGGTTCTGATGCCACTTGTTAGGATCAATCGCTTACCACTACGTCAAAAGTTATAGCTAGTAACGAAAGCACAACTTGACGATGCTGAACTTAACCCTTTACTGGTCTCTGCCCAACAATCTCCTAATTACATGGTGCTGGATTTGACCCTTACTGGCTTCCGCCCAACAGTTTTCTTGATAGGTCCTATATTTATCCTTGTTAAAGTGTCCAATAAGATTGATAACTCGGTAGAAAGGTTGTGAAGCACTGATAAAGCTAAGAAGGTAGAGAATCCAGGAGGGGGGCCAATGGCATTCCATGTTGACAACAGCAAGGTGGTGGATACAGAAGAAGTTGGTGTGAAGTGGATAGATTTATACATTATTTTGGGACAGCAACAAGGGGCTAGAATACAGAGTTTGGGGAAATTTTCCGCCCTGGACATGACTTTAGCCAACATATGCATGCAGATATTTATCACAGCCATATGTTTGTCTTTTAATGTTAATTTGCCTCCCTCAAAGTTTGATTGTGAGAGCACTAAGGTTGCATGTTTTTCTGCTGTGACAATACAGCTACTGGGAAGAGAACCTGAATGTAGTGCTGCTGCAGCTCATCATAGTTCTCTAAAGGAAACTCAGGCCAAACATTTGGATGACGAGGGAAATCACAGTCAATATCTGAGGGTGTGTACGGAGTAAATTCCACCTTGTTATTATTTTAGCCGGTAGAGGAGTACAATGAGGTAAACCATCCTAAATTGTCCATAAGTGACCGATTCAAACCAAGAAGGACATTAGGTCGCTCCTACTGAAAGTCCAATTTGAAACTTTGTGGTTATCAATATTCAGGCCAGAATTTGCCCTACTTATTATTTTTTTTTTTGAAAGGTAACGATGAAATATTATTAAATCAGATGTTCAATACATGAAGGAAGAGAACCAAACCAACTAAGAGGATCAGGTTGAGAACGAGTAGCCCTAGCAACCGCATGAGCTAACTTATTCACTGATCTAGGTACAAACTTAATGGACACTACTTCAAAGTGTCTTTTAAAATTTATGCATTCGTCAATCACGCAGCCTGCGTATGATAGGTCTCTAGAGACACCATTGATAGCGTTACAAACAGTCTGGCAATCCGAAAGAAGTGTGATTCGAGAAAATCTGTATCTTTCGCCCATGAAAATTAGAATTTGTTTAGGGTTAATATAATATTTGTGGCTGGTTCCAGTCCCGGAAACAGTTATCTCATTTAGTTGATTAATTTAAAAAAGTCTATAATAATTTTGTTTCGCTAATTCAAGGTATATAATTTACTCTATCGTGAGCACTAATATACAAACACTTTAGAAAAGCTATTGACCATTAAACAAGTTTTACAATTTACTTCTTTCACAAAACTAAGAGCTATAATTACATTGTCACACTTCGCCCATTCTACACTAAAAGAAGTCGGACCAATGAAACTTTCACTTGTTATATCTTCTCATGGGAGAGAAAATTCATTATTGTAATTGGTTTAAGTATCATGTACGCAAGAAATTAGTCAAAATCAACAAAGTTTATTTAAATAGACTTGACAACTGACAAGATGCCATTTATACTAAAGATAATTTTAACAAAAGAAAATAGACAAGTAGAAAATGTTGGATAAATATATAGTGTCCCATCAAGTTCATGCACAATAATTAGAGGTTAAATTAAGCAATTGCAAAATATAATAACATAGCAAAAATCTCTGAAATACCTTAAATTAGCTTCGATCTATATAATGTTGGAGTATGGCCAATAAGTCAATGCTCCAACATTAGTAGTTGATGTAGTAGAGTTATGACGATGATGTTTTACAATCATTATATCATAAATTATGATCTATCTTATAAGTGAACTATTGCCATATATAGGCCTTATTTGGTAACATGGTTTATCAACTAATTTTGGATGGTTTGATCAGTATTGGCGGTTTGACTTGGTCAAACAATCAATATGAGTGTTTGGTTAATAAGCTTTTTATAACATCTTATTGCTCCAAAACACTAAAATTCTAAAAGATACTCAAAGTAGAATTTTTGATAAGCTTTTTGAGAAAATAAATTATTTTTTTCAAAACACTCCTAATAATTTCAAAAGAAAAAACGAGACAGTGCAGACAGGTTCAACAGTCCTGTTACTCTCATTGTCTCTTCACGATACTAGAAAATAGGGTGTTTGAGCTTATCGACGAGGCTCATAAACCCGTTGCCTAGTACCATGAAGGTAATTAGCAACATGACATGTGATTAGTGCGCAAATTATGCTGTGGAAACGTGTTCACCATGCGCATGGTGAACACAGGGGTAGATCCATAATTTCTATGTTGTAAATTCATAATATTGTTTTTCATTTTTTGTTAATCTCTTCGCAATCGCATTATTTCGTCTTTGTAGTATAGATATTATGAATCTACAGTACATAAGTTATGAATTTACAGTATAAAAATTATGAATCTACAATATAAAAATTATGAATATACAGTATATAAATTATGAATTTAGAAATTATGAATCTACAGTATAGATGTTATGAATCTACAGTATAGAAATTATGAATCTACAACTTAGAAATTATGGATCTATCCCGTGTTCACCATGCGCATGGTGAACACGGTTCCACAGCATAACTACAATCGTTATACCCTACACCACGGCGCACATAGCACTGTGCGCCGCGCGCCTCTCAAAACGACGTCGTTTTGAGGTCATTTTGGGAGGCGCGGTAGGAAGTTGCTGGGATTATGTGTATTTGTTCACACAGTTATGTGTATTTGTTCATACAGTTATGTGTATTGGTTCATACAGTTATGTATATTTTTTATACAATTATGTACATTCTTTTTATACAATTATGTACATCCAAATCAGAAAATTTGTGTGTATTATGTTAATAGTTGATGTGTACTATGTTAAAAGTTTATGTTTATTATGTATTATGTTAGATTATGTGTATTATCTTTTAAAAAGAGTATGTATATTTTGTTATATAATTATGTACATTCATGTATACAATTATGTGTATTCTAGTATAACATTATGTACATTCTTGAACAGCGGATTTTTTTTTAAAGAAAAAATTACTGCCATTCACTGGGGCGGGAATTTTTAAAAAAAAAAAAAAAATTAAAACGACGCCGTTTTGCATCTGGGCACATAGTGCAACGCGCGCCATGGTGTAGGATATAAATTGCCGCATAACTATTGGTGATTAGTGTTCACGGGCTTCCTAAGCCTGTGAACATATGTTTTTTTTTTAATAAATTCTATAATAATAATAATAATAATAATTATATTATTATTATTATTATTATTATTATTATTATTATTATTATTATAGGTTAAAATAATATAATACACTCATACCATTCAAAGTCATTTTATACGTAATCAGCTATTAGCTAACAACAAACTTACCAAACACATTTTCTGCAACCAGCTAATGCTATCAGCTCGTCAAATTAAACTCGCTAATCCAATCCACTAACAACTATCAATTAAGTCAATCCCCTATCAATTATCAGCTAATAGCGTTACGTTATTTACCAAACACTCCTATAATGTTCATTTTTAGTGTATATTGAAGGTTCATTTTTAATATATGAATGATTATTTTTTAAAGATTCATTTTTAGTTATATTATCCATCTAAAAATGAATAAGTATATGTGTTTCACAATCTAAATTTGTTATATCAATCACTATACATAAACTTCAAACTTACAAAGTGAATCATCAAACATATGTTCATTTTTAGTATACAGAAAGATTCATTTTTAGTATATTAACGATTTATTTTTTTTAAAAAGTTCATTATTGCGTGTACTGAAAATGTTTATTTTTAAATATAACATCTAAAAATAAAATTTAATGAAGCTTTAATATACTGAAAATAAACATTGATATGCGGTTCATATTGTAACGTGAATCATGTTGTATAATTTGGCCATGTTTGAGGGGCTGATCTGAGGTATGATTGCAGCGGCGCAGCGGGCCCGAGTTATTGGGAATTATTGAGGTTTGCAAAGCATATATGTCGGACTAGGTAGCTAGAAATCTTGTAGAGGAGGATTAGCCACTTGGGCAGCGTGTGACCAAGCACAAAAAGTGAATGGTAACAATAAGGTTGTATTATATTAATGTTACGTTGTACTTTAATGTGAGGGAAGGAAGCTAAGGCCAGGGACTGTATGTGTCTTTTCATGATTGATCGAGTAGGTTAGGTTGGGCAACTGGGGTGGGTCTGGGCCGGGGGCCCTAATTCCTTGCACTTTTGCTAGCCCAGACATTGACATCATATCGTATTTAATTTGTTTGGTTGGAAGTTGGAAGGTTTCTGTTGTTTCTAGTACTAAACAGTGTCTCAAAGTTTTGAGATTTAATTTGTTGTATGAAATGTCACCGGACATTGCAATACTCCAATCACGTCCTTAGCTTGCATGGGAACTGCTCATCTCATCATTCCAAGAGAAAAAACCATGCACACTACACTTTTTACTCATGTTATGTTCTTTTTCCTTTCTTACTTTTTCTTTTTTTTTTTTCTCAGAGAAACTCTAGTCACTACTCGAATGTGCACACCGATGAAGTAAATTTGATA